CGTTAGCGGGCTGTGTGTGTGTGTGTGTGTGTGTGTGTGTGTGTGTGTGTTGGGGGAATGTGTGAAGAGTAAGTGCTTGTGAAGGAGGAGGAGTGGGAGATGGGAGGACAGAAGGAGAATAGAGCCACTGTTATAAGCACAGAAGTGACAAGTGGCACTGTGTTTGGGACAAATATATGGCATGCCATGCCTCGGAGTACACTTGTGTAAGGGAGGTGTATCAGAGAGGATGTTGATTCTGCTTCTTTAGCAATGGCTTCATGAAGAGGAATGTTAAATTTTTCTTCACATGAACTTGACCAGGTGGAGTCCAAGAAGGTGTGGAGCTCTGCTCCATGGTTTGTCTAGGCTCCAGGCTCTGCTTCTAGAAAATAGGCTGTTTTTTCCCAGGTGTTGAGCTGCTCCACACCCAGCCATTATGAAGGGGACAAGGAAAGCATAGGGCATATCGTTTCCTTTCCAAGGACTATCTGGAGATTGCCCTCATCACTTCCATTTCTACCAGTCAGAACATAGTCATGGCACCTTGCTAGCTGCAGTGGAGTAAAGGAAATGCAATATATACATATATGTATGTATTTTTTTCCAAAACTGGGCTGACCCCAGCTTTGAACTACATCCCTAGCGCTTTTAAAATTTTGAGACAGGTGTCTTGTTAAGTCACTAAATTGTCCAGGCTGGGCTATATCTTGCAATCCTTCTGTTTCAGCCTCCCAGAGTGCTGTGATTATAGGACAGCACCATTGTTATGGCTTGTGTCTAGATGTCCCCCACCAAAGCCTCATGCAGTCATAGGTGGGGCTTTTCAGAGATGGCTGGATCTAGGCTCTGGGAGTGATTCATGGTGCAGTTCTAGGCTCAAGGGAACTGGGATTAAGGGTATGAGTTCTACCCACCGTAAGTAGCCTGAATAAGATATAAGGGCTAGAAAGAGCTATGGCCATCCTTTGCTTGCTTTGCTACCTTCTTCCCACCATAACTGTTTTTCCTCTATGATACCTGTCAGCCATGACACCCTGCCTTGGAGCCAGCTAATTATGGATGGAAATCTCTGCAAATTTTGAGCTAAATAAACATTTCTTACTTTAACTTTGAGTGTTGGGTATTTTGTCCTAGCAATGAGAAAAGTAACTAAGATAGAATTTGGTACCAGAAGTAAGGTCATTGCTGTAACTGTACCTGACCATGTGGTTCAGGAGCCTTTGGAACTGGCATGTGGGAGGAGGAGGAGAAAGGAAAAGTTTGGAGATGATGGCTTAAAAAGGAGAGCTGGAATGCCTTAGACTGTACTTGATGGGAGATTCTTGTCAGCACTCAGAAGACCAGAATGCTGATTGCAATGATCTGGTAAAGAATACGCTTGGGAAGTTTCTGCTGAGAAGGATTATGTTGGTTGTTGGACTCCAGATAATGTGTGTTATGGCTTGGCAGAAAGTTTGTACATTTTGTTCATGTCCAGAGATTTTGCCTTAGGCTTAGATCAAGGGCAATGTACTAATCTTTGGAAGAAATTTCAAGGTTGTCTAATGCTGAGGTGGTAACCTGGTTACTGTTGGGGCTTTTATCCAGAGTTATGTTGATAATCAAGAGCAAAGAATCCAGCAGAATGATTCAAAATGTCATGAATTTGGCCAGAGAGGAAGCTCCAGTAAAGTTGCAGCCTGCAATGATAGAACAGAGGAGAAGTTGATCACTGAAAAGACTGCCGAGGAAAAGCCAAGTATTTCAGAAGAAAACAGAAAAGATGGTCTGAGAACATCACAAGAAGCAACCTTTGTAGGTTCATGGTTGCAAAGGTGAAAGAATTTGCTTTGAGAAGAAAGTCCCAGAGCACCATGTTCCAGAATGGTGGCAGTTTAGAGAATCTGTTCTTGGGGCCAGCAATGAAAAAAGTAACTAAGGCACTCACCATGTCCAGCTTGCAGCCCATATATTTGGAGGCCATGGTCAGGAATTCTGCTAGATATAACAAGGCAATGGTAGATACTGGGGAACAATTAACAGTCTACTGTAGAAGGAATGTGATTTTAGGAAAATAGTGTCATTAATCCCTCCCAGGCCCTAAACATTACAAAAGAAACCCAGAGGCAGCCATATAATAAAGACTATGGGGTGTATGTGATTAGAAACATCGGTTTATCATGTGGAGCATGTCCACTTTAACCAGTTGTGGCATTCATGAGGAAGGCTTGAGCTCAGGTAGGTATGTGTTGGGCTGCTCTACAGCCAGCTGGTTTTCGATGATGTAACACTCTCTGCAGCTCTCCAGAACTCGGGCCTGGAACAATGCCTTGTCCTTCTCCTGCCAGGCATCTGACTCGATGTACACATTGAAGGGGTCATGGGAGTGCTCCAGTTTCTTGGAGCGGATATAACTCAGCATGATGCCCAGAGTGAAGAAGCCAAAGAATCCCAGCACCATGAGGATGTAGAGCGCCTCCAGCTTGCTGTCATCACGAAGAGGAGATATGCGGGCCAAGCCAGATGCATTGCTGCCTGGTTGAACTGTCCCCTGCCACACAGTGACCAGGAAGGGCATTGCAGCTGTGGAATTAGACAAGATCATCCTGGACTGCCAGCTTCCAGAACTGGAAAGTCAACGTCCCAGGCAAACTTCCTAAAATAAAAATGCAACTTGAAATCAAAAGTGCATATTGACCAGTACACACACACCCACACACACATCTTTAAATATCTCAGGCGACAGAAGCCCACTCCATTGTGCTATTTCCCCTTTGTAATCTAGGCAGAAACATCACTGACATCGCAGACAGCTGGGTCACTACAAGATGTGTAGAATGGCCCTGGGGGCACAGCAGACACCCACTTTGTGTTTCCCAGGATGAGTCTGTTGGTTTTTCCACCTAGTTAAGAAATTGTAGCACAAGGATTTTAAGTTTTAGATTTGGTTCTCCCTTGGCTGACCACAGCTCTCTTCTTTATTTTGTGGCCAGCTCAGTCATGAATGAAAAGTGAAGATGTTAATGGCTCTGCTGATGGCTGGGCTTTTGAGTCTAGGTAAGGCCTGTCAGGGTTAGTAGGGTGGCATGGGCTCAAGAGATGCCCAGCTACTCATTCTTGCTACCAATGCATTTTTTTTCTTCTGTGGTATGGAAATCAAACTTAGGACCTTTTCACTGAGCTACATCCTCCTCTTTTTCCATTTTTTGTTTTTATTCTTGAGACATCATCTTGATAAGTCACTAAGTTGCTCGGGCTGGACTTGAACTTTTGATCTTCCTGTCTCATCCCCTCAAGTTCTTAAATGACTTGATACCACCTATGGATGTACAGAACCCTTCCCCAGAAAAGAGCATGTCTTAAATTGAAGATGTCATTTTATTTCTGAAAAGCCAGAATGACTACAATGGGCAAAAATCCTGCTACCAGTTACTTTTAGGGAGTTCTTACAGGTTAATGACCATGTGAGACTAGAACTATGGTTGGCAATATCAGGAGATTCAAATGCTAATTGGTATAGAACCAGTAACTCCACTCAGTGAATTATTCTTTAGAGTAACTTCTGCATTTCATTCATATTGGTGAGTTTACTGAAAACACCTGTTACTTAAAACCGCAAGGAATTTTCTATGGCCAGGGAAGCAGTCAGAAACATCTGCTTTGAACATTTCCCCGACCAAACCATCCTTAGCCTCGTTCCAAGGTGGTGGTGCGGAAACCTCATCAGGCTTTAGGAGCACCTGGTTTCCATGCAGATTGCTGGGCTCCTCCTCCAGATGTTGTTCCAAGTCTGGGCACAGCAGGAGAACCTGAATCCCAAACATGATCCTAGATGGGGCTGGTGCTGCTGGTTTGGAGACCAGGTATGGTATCGTATTGGAATCCCTTGTGGAGCTTTTAAAAAATAATGACACCACTAGAGATTTTAATATTCTTGATCTGAGCTCTTACATAGCACTGGGACTTAAAAAAAAAAAAACAAACTCCTGCTGTGCTTTGGATGTGTCCTCAAAAATTCATAATTGGAAACTTAATCCCCACTGCAACAGTCTTAGAAGCTGTGACCTTTAAGGAATGACTCGAATAAATGAATGCCATTATCTGGAGGGTGGGTTCTAGATAAAAGGATGTCTCCCCCACCACCACGGTGCCCTCTTTCCCTTCTTTCTCTTACCAGAGCATAACACGGAAAGACAACCCTCTCCAGATGTGAGCCCTTTGACTTTGACCTTCCCAGCCTCCAGAACTGTAAGCAATAAACCTCTGTTCTTTAGAAATTACTCGGTATCAGGGATTTTATTATAAGGGTACAACATCCCCGCTATACCAGAGTAACATTCCTCCCAAGACATCCTAATTGTAGGCAAGACTGAGGACATCTGGTCTGTGGTATAGGATATTAGAACATCTTTTTGATGCAGAGTTTCTGGGAGATTTTTTTAAAAGAATATAAAGCATGATTTTATCACCCAGTTTGCAAATCTCATTTGTGTTTCAGATCTTTCTGGGTCTTTCATGTCTCTGACGTAGTCTGAAGAGAAGTTCCCAGAGACAAACTGTTATCTTTATTATAACCCCAGCTGTCCCCAGTCAGAGTCACACTGGCACCTTAACTTATTAGCCTGTCAGAGCTTTTGCCAGACCAGAGAAGCCAAGTTCATTAACTGCTTTTCAAAAAAGAACTCGACACATTTAAAGAAAAATTTTTCTTGCTTTACATTTAACATATTGCATTGCCTTGGCTAACATCCCTGTGCCCCATATGCCCGTGGGCTGGGACACAGTGGTATTTGTGGAATGAGTCTCCAAATGAGTTGAGCGGTGTCCTCTTAATAATAGTCAGCAGCATGGTGCAAGTGACACAAGTCCAATCTGTGTGCCATTTGAGAATTTATGCCAGGTTCTCTGTTTACTTCCATTACGATACCAAGGACATGGCCCCAGCATCAAACTGCTGGACTTAGATGGGTTTAGAGAATGACTGACCCAGCAATCTTAATTTACAGAAAAGTGGACGCCACAGAGGTGAGACAACTGCCAGAGGAAATTGCTCCTATCAAAATGTGTATGAAATTAAATCTTTTAACTGTGGATTCACATCTTTTTATTATGGAAAAAGGACTTCTCAGGACCATGCAGAACGCAGGCAGGCTCTTCAGGCTCAAAGGAACTGAGGAACCAGTCACTTTTGTCAGGTGAAATTGGAAGTCCCATAGGAGGACTGGCTTTTGACCTAAATAGACCAAGGGTTGCCACCGTCCCTAGCCCTGCATACCCGACCCCAAGCCCCAGGGAGAACCATGGCTTTGGGTAGCTTGCACAGTGGGAAGAGAGCCAGGGGAGGCAGGAGCTGTAGGGACCAGGGAGGCCCGCACCAAACAAGACCAGCCCCTGCTGAACATTCTCAAACTAGGTCTTACTGAGCACAGAAAGAGGGAAATTTCTGTCTGCATCTGGGTTTGTGGCAGGGGCACTGCTCCTATCAAGTTGGTGCCTCGCTGTTTTGTTGTGTTGTGCTATTTTTTATTTTTCTTCAAAGCACAGACCCAGAGCTGCTGGCCTGCTGGGAACCACTCAGGATACACAGCCCTGGGCAGGTGAGGTGAACTGAATGGCAGCAAAGGGGACCCAAGTGGACCCCTGACGTACCCAGAGGAGAAGGAGCCGGCGGGGGGACACCTCGCTGTTTTGGGCATACATTTCTGCATTTTGCCACCTGCTCCAGCCGGCTCACCTATCAGCACTGATAACAGCTTGGAAACATCCAAAACAGAGGCTTTCCCAGCACTGGCAACTTTGGCCCTTTCTGAAGCACTGACTGCCGGGGCAGGGCTTTGGTGGCTGACTCACAGCTTTCCTCCAGGGGGCGTATATCCCAGGGCAGTCAGGGGAGATGGGGCAATGGGAAGGTCACAGCCAGGACTCAGAGATCTGGTTCCAGCCCTGCTCTGCCCTTCACGAACCACACCATCCTCCTGAAACTCCTCCTGTTCACTGGGAGAAGTATTCCTGTTACCAGCATTCCTGCAGCAGTTCCTCCAAAGAGCATTCCTTAAGCGAGATTCAAAGATCCAGCCTTGAAATCATTAGGCATTATTTGTTTTAGGAAGCTGAGTTAGGGAACAAGCAATTAGGGATAAGCTTCATTGGGTGAACGTGATCCTAACTGAGTCTGACTTCGATGAGTCAATTTTCCTTGGAAGCTGTTCTCTTCTGCTGTTTTCATCTTTATCACAATGCTATGTTCAAATTCTGGAAGCATATTGTAATTACCTCTTTGCAGGTCTCACCTTACTTTTGCTGTTCTCTCTAAGACTTGAGCCCTCTACATCTGTTCATGATCCCGTCATGATGATTCTACTGCTCCTTCAAAAGCCAGCTCCTACACCAAACTCTGTGCGACCCCCTGCAGCCCCTCCTCCTCCACAGTGCCCCCACATCCTTCCTTGTCTATTTCTCCTACAACACGAATCAGATTCTACTTGTACTGGAATCACCTGTCAATGTGCCTGGGCATTTCCTCGAGAGAGCTCCTGAAGAGAGGTCAGAGACCTCTGTTGTTCACCTCTGTTCCCACTCCAGCACCCAGAGCATTTCAGTAAAGGTTTTCTGAGCTAAATGAGAAGGCAAACTATTAGATTCAGTTCCCTTATGATTGGAAAGTGAGCATGAATAATAAGTATGCTACACTCTGGAAACACACGGTTCCATAGCCATATGAAAGCCTTTTGCAAGGCAGTGTTTTTATACATTAAATTTTATAGTCTTTGTTTTCTTTCTTTATATTATTTATTGTGCATATTAAATTTATAGTATTCATAGGTATATAGGTGCGTGGAACCCAGTTTACATTTTTCTCTTCTAGTCCCAGTACCACTTCCTTTCCTCTTTCCCACAGTATTTATCACCTAATGTAATAGTGGTCCTGATTATTGTGCTTCTTGTTTAATGTTTTTCTTTCCCACCCAAGTGTAAGAGTTTAAGGACAAGGATCTTTGAGGGGTTGTTTCTCATTCGATCCCCCATGCCTAGAACAGTGCCTGGCCACAGTGGAGCACAATCAGCATTCATCAGACGCAGGCATGCATGCATGAGTGCCTAAGTGTTTCATTCAGCTGCCAGAAAGAAAGATCCCAAATCTCCGGGAACTGTCTCACCCTCTGAGGGCGACATCACTGAATCCCTCTGAGATCTCAAAATGAACCTTGTTTGCAAAGTGGCTCACTTTCCAATCACGTATCATAGGAAGGCCTTCCCCATGAGCTCCAGACCATATCCCTGGGAAGGGAGAGCCCATCCGCAGACTGACCTCAGCTCCCCTGATGGACAGCCCCAAACAGGTCAGAGAAGGCAGAGAGAGGGCTTTCTGAATGCAGCAAAGTCCCCAGCACCCTCACCACAGATGACAGCTGTGGTTACTCCAGGTTCTCCCTCAGTGGGACTGCAAGCTCTTAATCTAAATGCAGACCCAAGCAGGTTATCAGTACACGTGGCTGCTGCTTGACCAGCTTGCCTCTGAACACTTCCCTGCTTCCCCATTACTATAATCGTGATCAGATATCAATAACGTCTTCCACATGCCACGTCCTTTCCACAGAGAGTAGCCAAAAGCCAAGAACCTCCTTGGTCAGATAAATAAGATGAAATGAAATAAAATAAATGGTTACCCTTTCAGGCCCATGTACACTATTCAAATATTGCTGAAATGAAGGTCTCTGTTGGGAACAAAGTGAAGACCAGGATGGTCGTGGTTTTAATTTTCTTTTGATGCTTTCAGGTAATTTCCAAATTTTCTACAAGAATGCCCATAATTCAATAATAATGGAAAAATGTTTCTGTTATTCTATGGTGGTGAGATATATTCCTAT